TCTCTCTCTCTCTCTCTCTCTCTCTCTCTCTCTCTCTCTCTCTCTCTCTCTCTCTCTCTCTCGCATGTGCACATACAAATTCACTCCATAGGTTTATAATTGCAGGTACGTTCTATTTTGTTCAAAAAGCACACAATTTGTAGACAGTCAATGGGGCATTTTATAAATTTCTACTTTGGAAATAAAATCAGTCTGACTCCAAGTTAAAAACACAGATTCTAAACAAAGCCTCACACCTAAAATGCATTGTCTGACTTGAGATGTCACCTCTGGTATACTGATAAAATCTTTAGTTATCTCGGGGCAGTGACTTGAAAGAAATTCTGGGATCTGCATATTAATCAATCAAAATGTGCATCTCCGTTCTCACGGGTTAAAGATTTAACAGCCATTTTAGGGATTGTTCAATACATTTGATCAGTTCTATGACCTGTTTGATCTTTTGCTTATAAATTCTGTGTCTGATGCCACCTCTCTCCATCACCTGAAGAAGGAGCGATATTCTGAAAGGGTGTGTTTTCAAATAAACCTGTTGGACTGTAACCTGGTGTTGTGATTTTTGATCTTGTTCACCCCAATCCAACACTTGGCACCTCCACATCACATTCTATGATCAAATAAGTGAGGGCACTATTATCTAAACTTTGCAGACATATATTTGCAGCACGGTGGTTCAGTGTAGCATTGTTGCCTCACAGTGCCGGGGACCCAGGTTCGATTCCAGTCTTGGGCAATGGTCTGCGTCGAGTTTGCGTGTTCGCTCCATGTTTGTGTGCTTTCCTCCCACAGGTTAGGTGGAGTGGCCATTGTAAATTGCCCATAGTGTTCAGGGATGTGCTGGCTAGGTGGATTAGCTTTGGGAAATGCAGGGTTGCATGGATAGGGTAAGGGTTGGGATGCTGTATGGAGGGTCATTGTAGATTTGATGGGCTGAATGGCCTGCTTCCACACTGTTGGGACTCTGGAATATAAGATTATTTTTATAAAAGGAGCAATATAAGGATCTAGGAGATGTGGGATTAACATTAATTCAGTGTGCGGATTTCTGTTGCCTACTGTTGCTGATTGACCTTTTGCAGAGTTTTGTACTATTTGTCATTTTGAGAAATAGTTTATATTTTAGTTCCTCCATCCATGAGAAATTGGCCTTTTTTAATTTAAATGCAGTATGACTTTGAGCATGTGTCTAGTTGTTCCTCTTTTTCCAGCTTAGTGTTTGTCAATAAGACAATAATTTCATAGATGTTAACTTGCAAACTCTCAAAGTCTGAGGATGAAGTTCCCCATGAGCTGGATTTGTCTTTTGAATAATACACAAATGTAAAATATTAAGCCTTTAAATCATTTGTAAAAGTTTTAAACTCAGTACCTGAAACAAAGCCAATATCCAGCCCACTGTGCCTGTATGAGCTCTTTGAAGAGTCAAATCATTAGTCCCATTAGTTCTCAAGTGCTGCAAATTTTTTCTGTCTCAAATATTAGTCAAATTATTCTTTGAACACTACTATGGAATTTGCTTCAATCACCCTATTTTCCCAAGCACAGCATTAGGTGTAGTCATGGTTCACTGTATATATCTTGAAGTTATTCTGATGGCTTTGATCACCTTTTGGAATTAATGATATGTATTCTGCAACCTTTATAGAAGGTCAGCATGCAACTTTGATTTTTTTAGAAAATACGGGAAACTAGAACTAATGAAGAATTTTCTTGTGGTTAGAAATTTACAGCTATGACTTGTGTCATGGTCATAGAGTCATACAGTAGGGAAGCAGACCCTTTGGTCCAACTAGCCCGTGCCGACCGTGTTCCCAAACTAAACTAGCCTCACCTGCCTGCATTTGGCCCATATCCCTCCAAACCTTTCGCCTTCATGTACTTATCCAAACGTCATTTAAATATTGTAACTGTACCTGCATCCACCATGCCTTCTGACATTCATTCCACGCACTAACTACGGTTTAAAAAAAGTTGCTCCTCATCCTTTTTAAATCTTTTTCATCTTATCTTAAAAATATGCCCCCCAATCTTGGGTAATGGCCTGTGTCGAGTTTGCGTGTTCGCTCCATGTTTGTGTGCTTTCCTCCCACAGGTTAGGTGGATTGGCCGTTGTAAATTGCCCATAGTGTTCAGTTTTAAATTCTTTCCCCCTTCGCCACCTTAAGGAAAAGACCTTTGCTGTTCACCTTATCTATGCCCCTCATCATTTATAAACGTCTAAGGTCACCTGTCAACTTTCTATGCTCCACCTTTTGTTTTCTAACA